CGTCCTCACAAGCTAGCTTACCTGAGAGAAAAATATCTAAATTAGTGCTTAGAGTATTGTGATATTAATATTCAGGTGCTAACATATTATAAATACTCTAAATATAAACAAAGATTTAAGGGAGACTGAAAATGGCTCTTCAATTTAGTTAATGAAGAAAACTATGAAAATATTTTGTAAGATGATAGGCCAACATATCTGTATATTAAAATTTTAAAAGTTATGCTTTTCCAACACATTTACATACTGAAGAAAATAATTACATGATTCAGTAAAAGCATTTTTCAAAATCCATCATTGTTTTGTGATAAAAACTCATCATACTGTGGGAAGAGATTCTGAAAAACCTTCTGATACACTCATATAAAATATGAAAATACACTAAGCAAAGTTTAATAAGTGGAACCCTCCACATAATGATGTTTGAAATCATTCACTGTTTGTTTCTGTTTATCAATGTAAGCATTTGTAATGTTATCTACACACTGGACAATACTAAGCAATATTAAGCCAAAATAAGATGCAACCCAAGACTGAATTCCCTGAACCTGGATAGATGATTGGTAAGCAAGAGAAATGGATCAGAAATTATGACATTTGGAAGAACATAGGGCTTATATGTCTCCCAAACTCACCACATGTAGGACTACATAGGAGGTTTTCAGGAGACATAAAAAGAGACACCTAACTTTGCTGTGGTTCCATTGCCCAAAATTCAGTTATAAGCAAGAATTTATTAGGAAGAAGAGCAGGGATTAGCAGGTGTGGGTGCTCCAACAGTCAGAAAAATTAAGTGCAGAAAATTTTTATGTTTAGCCCATATATTTGGGAGATTGCTAACCAAAAGAAAAGAGAAAGAGAATTATTTTACGTTAGTGAAGAAGGGAAAAAGTCAACAAATTATAATGAGGCAGGCACTATTAAGTACTTCACCTGAAATGTGATACTAACATAATGATGAAATCTGAGAAATTATATTAGCACTAAACTGTAAAGGACAATAGGAACTTTAACATCTGGAGACACAGGTCACTGACAGAGATGGAATCTATCCAGATGTGCAATAAATAAATAAATAAATAGACGAGGGACATCACTGCAGCTCACTATACCAGGTGAATTAGCTTGAATAGCAAATATTAGCATATGTAGAACTTTGCCAGATTATCCGATTCTTAAAAAGAGCTTTTCATTTAGTTATAAAATTTGAAAAAGAAGTGGTCTTTTAGGGTACTAAATGTGAAAAAAAAAGATAAAATAAATTAAATCTCTTTATTAATCGTCAGTAGTAAAATAGAAATTTGTCCCTCAATGTCCCATTATACGTGCATATATTTTGATTTCAAATTAAATTTATCTAAATTTTATCTAACATTTCTGAAAAATTTACATTTAGAATAGATGGATAGATAGATACACAGACAGTTATGATAGCTATTCAATACACTAAAATTTAGTCTTCAAATTGTTCTACTCTAATTGAATTTAGACATTCCTATAAAGAACTATATCTCTCAATCCACTGTTCATTTGAAATAATATTTATGTGTAAATATTACATTTAGTATAATTGAATATGCAGTACTTTAAATATAAATATATGCCCTTCTAAACTTAAATATAAAATAAATTTTGCACACTTATTGTCATGTTACATAGTTTTATTAGAACATTAGAGAAGTTCAAGAAAATAAAAGATTAAGGCACAAATAAGGATAAAGTCAAAGTACTTGTAACATTACTCAAAACAAAGGCTTGTGTTTACTTCTATTCAGAAACTATATGCATTAAGTTATTTAATACTCTGAATAAATCTGTAAGGAAGACATTTCACAGCATATTTTTACAGGTTCAGAAACTTAAGACTTAGAAAAACTGAGACGCTTCTCCAAGGTAAAATATTTAGCAAATAATAGAATCTACTCTTTACCCGGATCTTTCTATAATCCATGTCATTAATCTAGCACATGTCAAACTGTCTTCCATATTATAATAGCATATTTATGTTAAAATGTATTATCAACATTCCTATTACCTTAAAACTTTCATCTTCCTACAAAATATATTAATTGATAAAATTAGAAAATAGCAAGTATTTCCTGTATTTATCCCTATCACACATTAAAAAGTCATGAATAATTTCATTTTTATCACATGAATCCAAAGACCATCTGGGAGTACATAAAATGTACTGTAAGTGGAATGCACTTGGTTTTTCTAGCAGTATCAAAGTCATGCCAAGAAACAATGCTGAGAACTCTATGTTCATCTAGTTTTCAACACCTCTGTGGGCGGAAGTAATCAAAGCAAATACTGTGGTCAATACTGCACAAACTCACATTTTTGGCTAATAACTGACATTCAAGTAAGAAGAGAAATGATTTTTGAGATTGTTACCTGAAATTTAACATTATTTTTCTTTCCTCGGAAACTTGAACTTTAACTTTTAGTCCTTTTACAAACGGAGAAATGAAATAGGCAAAACAGCTATCAGTTATAATTCAATAATGTCTTTCAAGAAATAAATACTTTGTGTGCCAGGTGGGTACATGCACTCAGTATTCACATTAAACCTTCACAACATTGGCCTATTTTGACATTTAGTATTTCTTTTCTTCTTCAAAAGAAAAAGTCATCTTTTCATTAAAAAAACTTGAGCAAACAAAGTGTCAAATTTTATTTATAGAATTTACTTACATACTCCCTTCATCAAAGAGCTACATTCTTAGAGGATCAGACCTGTTAATATGTATTTGTATATCAAAAATATCTCTAATGGTAGAAATTTTGCTTTTGAGAGAGATAGAATCCATTTGGAGCAAAAGAAAAAAAAATACCATAAATTTCCCTTTAAGAAGACAGAGCAGAGATTCAATATAGAATGTATAAATTGGAACATATGTAGGCTATAAAAATAAATGAATAATAATTCAATAAACTACATTTAAAAGGATGGCCTAAGGTCACATTTTACAATGTAGATAAAAGCCAAAACCAAAACCAAAACAAGCAAAAAACAAAAAATCAAAACATAAATAAATGCTCACAGCACTGAGGTCAGATTCACAGGTATAAATTCAATTTAGCAAGAACAAGTTGAATTGCTCAGAGTTTAGATTTGTTATGTGTAAAATCACAGGATAATTGGTGTGGTCTGTTTCAGATCCAATTATGGATGAATATAATTATATCGTAATAAATGGTGTAAAATGAGGAAAGTCTTGTTTTTTTAAAAAAATTATTTTATTTTTTCTTTCTCTGATAAGACGCTGCTTCGTGTTATTTATCTAGCATTAGGCCAGAAACTCTCAGGCCCTATCTGGATGTTGATTAGATAATAAATGATCTTTAATTTACTTTTTCTATATTGTTTCTTTGTTACCCAAGCAACATAATTTAAGAAATGATTTAAGATGACATAGCTTCTCCCTAATTATTTTGTTCCTCTGGTGAAAAGTAAGCATTTTCTATTTTTTTTTTTTTCCTTAACTCTGCATAAAGTGCAAAGTTTAAGTAAACAGGTAATTCCAAAATCGAAGGTAAAAATTTCTCAGCTACAAAGAAATGACACTCCAGGTTACCATGTCTGGTTACCCTTTTGTGCCAGAAATTATTTCAAGGTGATAGGCAACATAGAGAGGAAATTTACTCATTCAAAATATATGTATGATGTAAATGGCAATTAGGAAGAAAATACACATGGAACCTATTTACAGTTACAATATAAATCTGAGCATATAGAGTTATTGGGGAAGTAAGATATCCTGTTAAATTTAAAAGATAAAATTAATAAGAATGCTTGACTTCAGTATTTTGCCCCCCAATTTGTCTTGTTAGCTTTAATCGTCCATTGTTTAGTACATCTATCATTTTACCCAAAGACACAGATTCAATTTTAGCGCTGAATGGATTAGAGAAACACACAATAACACAGCCCTGATATTTTTAATGACTTCTTGTTGGTGAAGTAAAACATAATTTTGAAAATCAGGCTTTAAAGATGTTCAGCAATAAATTGCAACCTAACTTTTTGAAATAATATTTTACTCTTCCTTATATGCTTCCAAGATTTAGCCTATTATTTATTACTAAATTTCCCTTACATTTTCCACCTCTATGCTTCTGTTATTTTCCTCTCTTATTTTCCTCTGTATCTCCTCCAGCTCAAAATGTCAATTACATTTTCACCAATTCTTCCATCTAATACTAGCTAAGTTAATGGCTTTCTCTTCTAAAATCCATTTTCTTTAACTCGACAAATTATCATTCTCTCAACTGTGCTAAGGTTATATGAATTAGCAACATCTATAATTTTTACAGATATTTTTATATTTAATATCATTATATAAATGACTTTCAAAGAAATGTTATTAGGATGTCCATAGCAAGATTATATCAATCATTACAGTACATATACTTCATAAACTCTTATAACAATATGAACCATGCACAATATGAAACAATTAGTTATACTATGTTAGTCCAAAATTGTGTTAGGTTTTATCAATCTTGCTTTTTTGTTGTTATAACTGTTTTGTTGTTGTATATAACTGTATAGTTTCAAGGTTTGTAACTTTATAGTCTGGAACTTTGGGAATTGAAACACAACTCTGATATTACATATATCTATTTATTTGGATAATCATTTTAGAATTTTAAGTTTCATTGAAAAACTGAGTTAAAACCCATAGCTCTCACAATATTTTTTATGAGGACTCAATGGAGTGATTCAAAGAAAAGACCTAGGACACACAGAGCATTCAAAAGATTCCAACTTTTTGTTTTTGATACATGATATCATAAATTACATGTCTTCTCTGAAAAAGAACCACCTATAATCCATTTTATAAGAGTTCTCCAAGGATATAGCAAGAGTGAATATAAATATGTCCTAAGTAGTGACAAAAATGTTTTTAGCATTTTCATCTCAAATGATGAGCCTTGTTATACAAATATAGAAGCAGACAATTGGAGGCAGTAGACACGCAAGCCTTACTTACTAGCAATGTGACATTGAGACAGGGCCTTTACTGCTTTGACTCTTCATTTCTTCACCTGCAAAAATGAAGAGATTAAACTAGATCCATTATTTTTAAATTAAATTTTTACAAAATCATTGGTTCATCTATTTATTCAGTTAATAACTCTGAAGGATATAAACCAGAAGTCCAGGGGCTCTACTTTTTTATGTCTTACATAGCTCAGATTCAATCTGGCTTAACTCTACCTAAAGCTTACCAGAGGATTCATGAAGAGTTGTGGTTGCTAATTAGTTACTCTAACCTACTCAGAAAGTATGGGACACACATAATCTAAGCCACTAAAATAATCTCTGCAGCTGCAAAAAGTATCATGCCAGGCACACTGAATGCATTTTGAAGTTAAGTGAAAATTTCCAAATAAAATTCCACAACCACAATGCTTAAATGAAAAAAAAAAAGACTCATTAAAATAATACACTGAAGAAATGAAAGTGATCAGATGCTGCTGCCATGTATCTAAAGGTCATAGTGAATAAAAAGCTCATCAGGATGAAACTACCACCATAATTTCAGTATCACTAAGCATGTGTCGAGATTTTCGTAATATCACAAAACAGTCAATGTACCAGAATCTTGCAAGAAATCCTACAGGAATTTAAACATGTAGTTGGAATAAGATGAATGGCTTTGGCATTTCAAAATTATAGTAGTAGGAAATTCATTTACTCCTGTCAACTATTACTTATATATAAAATGTAATACTATATATATATATATATATATATATATATATATCTTTTGCTTTTGTATTTTATATATGATATAAAACTACTAGCTCATATTGAATGTCATTTTTATTACACCTTGCATAGTCTATATATAGCTGACATAGCTTAACACAGAGTCTGCAGCAATATTAGCAACTAAACTTTTTAATGGTCTCTTTCACAGTGGTTTCTAACTTTCTAACCTTTTGAAGCTGTTAAAATAAAGTCAAATAATGATACTGCTGTGGCATAAGTGTATGCTAGGATCAATAAGTTGTGGTTGCTGGAATAAATTGCAATTAAAGGAGTGGTGCTTGATTGCTTGACAGTAGGTAGTCTTTCTAGACCAAATAAACTTCAGTATCAGTCTGATTTATAAGCTAATTAGTATGGGCTTCACATGCATTTCATTGGGAGACCATCAAGTAATATTGACTTGAGTGTGCCTTTGAATTTGTCCTGTGTCACTTAGAGGTAACAATTTACTTGTTTGTTTACTCAAGATTATATTTATCATTTTTAATCAAGTAGACTATAGAACATACTTATAAACAAATTCCCTAATAACTCAACATTTCAGAATTTCCATAGGCTTTTTATATTTCTATAAATTTAATAAAATATATATACTAAGTCAGAAATTGACAAGGTAAAGAATGATTGTCACTGAAAATTTATAGCATATATAATACATAGAAATAACTAATTTAAAGGCTAAAACATGGCACATTAGGCATGTCATAAAAATTTAAATATTATGAAAAAATTCAAATGATTGCCTCTAGGAAAACACATGTACTTATCTAACATAAAATCTTGTATATCCTAATTTTAGTAATTTCTCTTCTGTGTGGCATTTTACATATAACAAATTTCAACATATGCTTGCATAATTATCTAATGAAAATTGTATATTCATAGATTGAAAACAAATAATTTAAAATAAATTTTGATTATAAATTCAAAATTATATGTTTTCCTTTGCTAATAATTTCTTTTAGCAGCACATTTTCTGCTAGAGATTAAATATATGTTGCTGAATCAACAAGTGAAAAAATTAAATCCTTCAGTGAAGTGATTGTAGTTCATTCATTATCATGTATTTTATGAATAAACACAAGAGAAGGGCTTGCAGCCACCAAAAACAAAGTAATTATAATGGATATAAAATGTTAATTGACATTATTTGATCTATATATATCATATATGTATATTGAAACATCACACTTTGTCTCACACATATTTAAAATTATTCCAAGTTTTTTAATTTTAAATGTTTAATTAGATAGAAATACTACTCTGTTTTGATCAGAACATACCATATATATGCGATTTTCCAGCCATTAGTAACAGATTAATATAGGATCCTATTAAACCTTCACACAACATCCAGTAAGTTTATACAACTGATAATAACCATAAAAGTGTATTTACTCAAAAGAGATAATACTGCTTTAAAAATAAAATTTCTTCTGTTAAATACCCAATTCTCCACATTTTCTATTTCTCAGAGATACATTCTTTAAAAAGAAAGATAAATTCAAATTACTTAGAAAATCTTTCATACCAGTTTTGACTGTCACATGTTTGTATTGATACTGATTTCCAAATTGATTACAGTATCACAGTCTCTCACTAAACTTATATTACAATAATATAATTGTGTCTTTATGAGTCTGATACCCTTTCCCATGTCTCCAAAAAGGAAGCTTTATGAAGTCTAAGGCTAAATGATAGTAATCCTTGTTGTACAACATGAATGCACATCATTTTGCATTGTACAATGTTCATAGGAAGGAGTCAATGAATATATACTGGATAAATTTAAAATTATCAAACTCAAAATTGTTATAACATATATAATCATTCTATATTTACCTCAAATTTTATATGGGAATATGTTTTAATAATTGAATAGTAACTTTAAAAAAATTTTGATATATGCTAATACAAAAATGCATCCAATTTTAAATTACACATAAGCTCAATTTAAAACAAAATGAACAAAGGTACCATTTAAAAGATGAATATAGGGTCCTAACATCAAAATGCTGAGATAAATGTTTCAGTGTAAAATCTGGTAAGGGTGGATGAAATGATGAGTTAGAAAATAAATTTACTACCTGTCTCCAAGACAATGCCATCTATTACAAGAACAAGTGCTTTCTAAAAGGAAAACATGTGTGTTAGTTACCTTCATGTGTCCTGGATTTAATCCAATACCTAGTTCACTGTAAGAAGTCAGTTCATAGTTGAAATGCATTAATGAATGAATGAATCAATTACGTTGTCTAGAATGTTTAATAGTTGAAATTTTTGCATAAAGTATAAAGACTACAAAATGTAAACAAAAATTCAAAATGAATCACACAGTAAAAATTACATTAGTTAATTGAGGCTTTGCTGACTTGCAATTTTGTAAAATTGCTCATTTTAAACTGCGAGTGATACCAGAAAATTATTTTGTCTTTAAAAAAAGACACTGCACCTTCACCTAACATTCAGAAAAATTCTGCACAGAGACGTCTTCCTTTGACATTTTTAAGCAGAGTGTCGTAAGGTTACATTAGAACTGGGCAGTGGAGGAAGCATCCTGATTTCTGGTCCTTATGTTACAGTCACTGAATAAGCAAGTGGGAGAGAGTGCAAGGACGGCATCCCAGAGGTAATGCGATTTTTACACCATTTTGCAGAATTATAAAGTGGCATTGCCTTGTAGTACTGTCACATTCCCGATGGTGTTGAATACATCCATCTGCCTGCCCATCAATTCGTCTGAAATCGTGCAGTCAAGTGTGACATCAGGTGCTCACCAGCACTCTTCCTCGTCCCCCACTAGTCACAGGCACACCTGGCCCCCTTCATCCTAGCTTCCGCCTGTCTATTCTTCCTTGTAAGCCACTGCCTTCCCATAGTGCCAGTCTAGAATCAGCTCTGCCTCCGTAAGCATATTTTCTTTTTCTTAAAGGTACTCTTTCCTCATAAATTGCTTTTTATGATCTATTGTAAAAGTTTCCAACTGTAAAATATCTAAAATTTCCATTCACACAAACCAATGATATAGTTGACTTGCTTGAAATGCTATCTCAATATTTGAGAGCATCATTTTATTTTTAGGTAAAATAAGTGTCATACAAGAGTGCTTAAATATACAAATGAGGATTATAATGATTTAATATAGGGGTAATAGTAATATGTATATAAATGCTAAAATATTGCCACTTATATAATACATTATCAGTAGTCAGTCAAAACCCTTTCTCTGTGAACAAAGAAATGCCCTTTCAGGGCTTAATAATATATCCTTTGTCAGGTATATCATGTTATATAACATTTGTCATGCCTATATTAAAATTATAGTGTTAGCATGTGATTGGAAAATAAAAAATATTACTTCATCTTTTTGCATGCAGTTTGTGATACTGCTTCTTTATTTTCCCAATATTTTAAGTTTTCTAACAATAAATGTAAAATGCAACCACCGGAATTTAGATATATACATATAAATATGCACAAAGATACACACACATACACACACACACACACACACACACACTTCCATACATAATTCTAGCCTTAATTCCAGTCATCGAAGATAAATTACTACATTAAATATTTTAGAGTATGCTACTCACAGTCATTTCTGAATAAATAAATTACTGAAGAGAAATATGACAAACACATATGCACATATATATATATATATATATATATATATGAATGATTTATTGTGGATTGTTTCATTTCTCCCTACTTGTAAGAGTATCATTTGAATGGGTGAAAGTTAATCCATACTTACATACATGAAAATGTACAAATGTCATTTTCACTTTCTAATGAGTTATGCTTAATTTTAAAATAATAGTTTAAACATGAAAATCATTGCTTGTTATAGGCAGAGGAATTGTCCTCCAAAGTTTCCCACAATTCCAATTTCCAAGTTCTGTGCATAAGTGATGCTATGTGGAAAAAGGAAATGCAGGTTTCATAAGAAACTAAAATCTAAACTGGAGGTGGTTGTAATTATGCTGGGGTCCCCAAGGGGGCCCAAAGTAATCATAAAGATCCTTAGAAGATAGAGACAGGGGAGCAAGAATTACAGTAACAGGATCTGTGAAAGACCCACTGGGTATTGTCATTGCTGAGTGTAAGATGAAGAGGAGCCTTGACCTGAGGAAAGCAGACAGCTTCTGGAAAGAGAAGAGACCAAGAAATGGGTTTTCCACTTAGTCCCCAGAGAGGCACGCCATCCTGCTATGAAAACTTGTGCACATGTTTTGTGGACATATGTCTCCTCGTGGCTGGG